ATAGGACTCAGTAAAATCCAAAGGACCTGCACCATCACCAAAAAGAAAAGGCAAAGGAGTTGGGGATAGCGATGTGGGGAGAAGAGAGAGAGAGAGAGAGAGACTCTCTATTAAATGGATTTGAGCATTTCTTTTGGCAAGAGCTGCAGCCCATGGTGTTGGCAATTGGGGCTGACTTTGCCCCTTGCTTTTTCATTGTGCCCAGGCGCTAAAGCAGTTTAGTTCCTCGTGCCGTGTGCAATTATAGTTCTGAGATGTGAGGTGTGTTGACTGTGAGGCCTTGTTGTGAGATGAGGTGAGAGCGCCAGGAACAAAATGGTCATTATAGGCCATTCATGTCGACAACATTTATACCTCTGTGTTTGCTTGCAAGCAAAAGCAGGAGCTAATTTGCAAGGCTGCCTTTGTGAAGCTGCCTTTGATCAATGGTTGCCTGTGTTAATGTTTCAGTAAGCTATTGATTTCTGCAGCAGCTTTTGTTCCCTGAATTTATGTGCCCCTGGTCTCTGCAGAACACACTCTGCATGTTTGATTAAAGTTCAATTGACTTCACTCCTGGTGAGGCTCGCGCTGCTTCGCTCCCTGTTTGTAGAACCACAGCTTCCCTGATGCGTTCTTTTGTTTGTGCTCAAGACCTAGCCACCCATGCAGTCACCAGTATGCTGTTTCTAATCCTCCTGGATCTGCTCCATTCCAGTGTTTAATCCCTTCAGCAGACAGAACAGTGGTTGAGAGGCAGCTCATAAAACCTGGTCTGGACTTTTATTTATTTATTTGTTTGTTTGTCGACTTTTTTATATACCATAAGAATGTACTCACTTTAAGTACTCAGTTCAGTGAGTCTTGACAACTGTATAAATCCATGTAAGTAACACAATTGCTTTATAGAATATTCCCATCACCCCAAAAGGTTTCCTGATATCCTTTTATAAGTATTTTTCCTACTCTCCAGACTCCAGGCAACCACTAACTTCCTTTTTGTGATGACAGGTTTGCCTTTTTTAGAATGGAATCACACAGCATATGCCCTTTTGTGTCTGGCCACTCGCATTCAACATGATGCTTTTCAGATTCATCCTTGTTATGTATCAGGGGCTTGTTGCTTTTCACTGCCAAGTAGTATTCCAGTGGATGGGTGTGCACCGTGTTTATCCTTCTGTTTGAGGGTGTCTGAGTTATTTTATAAACTTTTGTGTAAAAGTCCTTGGCGTGAGCACATGTTTTTAGTTCTTTTGGGTAAATACCCAGGAGTGGAATAATTGCTGGGTCATATGGTAAATGTTTGTTTAGCTTTCTAAGAATTGCCAGCCCTGGCCGATTTGGCTCAGTGGTTAGAGCGTCGGCCTGCGGTACAGAGAGACCCGGGTTCGGTTCCCACTAAGGGCAATTTGTTCCCAGCCCTGGTTGGTTGTGCGGATGGCAACCACTCGATATGTCCCTTTCACATCGATGTTTCTCTCTCTCCCTCCCTCCCACTCTATCTGAACAACAAAAAATGGAAAATGTCCTCGGGTGAGGATTAAAAAAAAAAAGAATTGCCAAACAGCTTTACAAAGTGGTCTGACCTTATATTTCTAGGATATGACTTTTCCCCCATCTTTTCTGAACTTTGAAATTTATATTCTTTCATTTTCTCATCAACTAATTTTAGACTTACAGAGGAGGGAGGGTCCTTCTGTCTCAGTCATTTTGATTCTTGGCACTCTGATGATAGAATCACTTCTCGTCCCATTCTTTTTTAAAAATTTATTTTAGTCAGTCAGTCCTCACCCAAGGATATTTTATGTTGATTTTTAGATAGGGTGGAAGGAAGGGAGAGAGAGAGAGAGAGAGAGAGAGAGAGAGAGAGAGAGAGACATTGATCTGAGAGAGACACATCAATTGGTTGCCTCCCACACAACCCCGGCTGGGGCTAGGGATAGAACCTGCAACCCAGGTGCGTGCCCTTAACCAGGAATCAAACCCCGAGACCCGTGGTCCACAGGCCAATGCTCTGATGCTGAGCCAAACCAGTTAGGGCTGGTCCCATTCTTTTTTAAAAGCTGTTACTTAAATGGTGACAAAAAGTTGATCTTTATTTCAACATTATGTTTCTTTTCCATGTTCTGAATTTTCACACATGCGAGAGGAGGACACGGTGCAGGACTTAAGGTTTAAAGTTGTGAACCTAGGCTTTTCCTGAGCCTTTTTCTGTCCGGTGTCCAGCATTGGACCAGTCTCAGCCTTGCTAAACTCTGGCTTCCCTATTTTAATCTGCAAGTTATGACATTTTTTAAAACCATTTAAATTTTTTTGAAACATTGATATTTGAGAGATGAAAATAATCCCTGGTAACCATGTGAGGTACTGTTGCTTTACAGACCACTGCTATGTAGAAATGTCAGGGCGGCTGCTTTTTAGCAGCCTTAAAATAAGACTGAGGTTTAACAGAGACCCTGGTGACACCCCTCCACCAGATTTTCCCTTCCATTTTTATTTCCTTTCATCTCCTGTAGTTTCACACTTTATCTTAGATTCCAGGCCTCTATCATCCACTGGCCCTAAACTTCCACTGAAGGAGGAGGTGGGAGGAACCACCCTGGGTCTTCTCATTCTTCCTTCCATCTTTAGGATCAGGCTCTGATTTACTTCATCAGTTGCCCTTCTAAACTGATGAGCACACCACTCTGACAAAGTATTTGAGGGGTGACAGTGACCTGCCTCGACTTCTTTCTGTTTTTCTAAATTTTAAAAAAATTTATATTTGTTACAGATATTTCTCCTTTTTCCCCCATTGACACCCTCCTCCCTCCCCGCCCCATCCCCAGCTTTGTTGTCCATGTCCATTGGTTATGCGTACGTGCGTTTAAGTTCTGTGGTTTATCTCTTCTGTATTTTTTCATAGTAAAACCAGAGCCAGATCAGTTTCACGTAAGCACATGTTTCTTAATCTCCTAGTTGATTTATGAGTTTGTTCCCTCCAGCCAGCCTACAACAAAAGATCAGTATAGATAAATGACATTCCAGATCAGGAAGGTAGGAAGTAAAGAGTCTGGAGCCAGGAGGTTCTGGTATCGTGGCCTTAGGGGCTCAGGGTGCTCCAGTCACCACAGGGACAATTAGCCTGCATTTGTAGAATAGCAAGATAGACAAACAAGTTATAAATTCAAGGGCAGTTTCTACATTTTCCCTATTCAGTTACCTTCTCATGGAATGGAAAGGGGGTTGGGGTAGTGGCTGGCTCCAGGTCTCCTTGGCCTTGGGTCAGGCTTTGTTTGTTAAATATTGGCAGTCACTAGTGTTTTAAGTGGTGTTTGGAAAGAAACACATCTACAACTCCAAGAGATACACACTGTATGCTTATACTGAGCCTTAACGGCTCTGATGACAACTTTGTCCTCCTTAGAAAATGCGCAGACAGATCCAACTGTTGAGTAGTGAGTACTCAGCACACATACATTACCTGCTTTGCAGAAGCCATTTTCCCACCAAAAAAACCTGCCCCCTTCTTTCCCAACTTACTGTGGTGGTGTTTCAAGTCTTGCATAGTGTTTTTAATGAAACCTCATCTGATTGGGTGCTCTATCAGTCATTCGAGTTTGTTACATTGTATCTGTACTTCTTTGTCTATTTCAGTCCTTCCAATACTGGTATTTCCAGCTAGATCTAAGGTCACTGGAGAGTAAAATCTTTTCTTCTCTTTCTTGGCTCCTCCATTCACAAGGCAATGAGCCTTTCCTGGGTCACAGTGGTGCTCTGGCCAAATGCCTCCCACCACCCTGGGATTCAGGTTACCCCAGGGTAACTTCCCAGGATACCGACACCTGCCAAGTTAATTGACTTTCCACAATATTTATTTAATTAGAGAAGATCAGTGTGATCTCAGCTCTCTTGCTGCTTTAAGTGGTTTTTTAAAAGTTGAAGATATTTTATCTTGGGATATTTTTAAGAAATCGGTCTTTAGTCAGCCAGGGTTAGCTTAATGTCATTCACCCATTTGTGTGTATGGTGTGCCTACTGTCCCTGGAGATGGGGTGCCAAAAGTGCTGTGTGTGTGTGTGTAATTATTATTATTATTTTTTAATCCTCACCCGAGGACATCTTTCCATTTTTTGCTCAAATAGAGTGGGAGGGGGAGAGTGGGGGAGAGAGAGAGAGAAACATCAACGCGAAAGAGACACATCGAGTGGCTGCCACTCACACGACCCAGCCAGGGCCGGGGACAAACTGCAATCAAGGCACATGCCCTTAGCGGGAACTGAACCCGGGTCTCTTGGGACCGCAGGCCGATGCTCTAACCGCCGAGCCAAACTGGCCAGGGCTGTATATATATATTTTTAAGTTGCCTTGACTCTTTCTGCTGGGCTGTGAAAAGAGTAGCACCTTTTGTCTTGAAGATTGACCTTGTGACAGGTGGCAGTTCATCTGCACATCAGCACCACTGTGTGTGTCCTCTCTTAGTCTTTCTATGTCTAGCCCAGTCATTGCTTTCGGACTTCGTGCCAGCTTGTTCCCAGTGTGGGTGCTCAGATTGGAGGGGAGGCTGTAGAGCAGCTTCCTGGGTTGGTTTGGGGTTCTGTTCTTCCTGACTTCCCACTTGGTGCTCGTTCCCCACCACCTCAGTTGTATCCTTGCTTGTTTCTGGAATCATCTATCTGGCCTGTATATATACACACACGGTTAGAGGATGAGATTACTGATGACTTCCAGTGCTTAGAACAGTGGGGCATCTGGCATTTCGTAGGCACCCACAAGTACTTGTTTAATGAATGGATGTTCTTGATGTCTAGAAGTTGTACTCTACTGGGCTGAGGTGACAGGCCCCGTTCCCCAGCTTTCGGGCAGCTCAGCAGGAATGTCTGAGCAAGCTCCTCGAAACTCCAGGAGCAAACTATTCTTCTTTGTCCTGGTCTCCAGTATAGCTGTTACAAACCCAGCTTCTGCTTCCGACGGGGGGGGGGACAGGGAAAAGCCAGATCCTTCTGGACACCTCCCTCACAGCCAGACCATCTTCCTTGCAGGGGGAACTGATCACCTTCTATTACTACTGGAAGAAAACCCCAGAGGCAGCCAGCTCCCGGGCCCATCGAAGGCACCGCAGGCAGGCTGTGTTCAGGAGGATTAAGACTCGCACTGCTTCCACACCCGTCAACACACCTTCCAGACCCCCCTCCAGCGAATTCTGTAAGTGGGAGACTTGTCACACGCACCACACGTGTCCCAGTTCTGGGCCTGCACTCACAGGCGTCCTTGTCACAGTGTGGGCCAGACCTGATGACCCAGGGAGCCATGTGCGCACCTGCGTGTGTGTGTGTGTGCTTGTGCACAGCCTGGCCTGAGTGTCGCACTGACTTGGGATGTGGTAGGACAGTTTTACAACTTACTCGTTCATTTAAATTTTTCTAGTAAGTGCAACATCATTTAAATTTTTTTACAAAAATGTAAGTATTGCCCTGGCCAGTTTGGCTCAGTGGTTGGAGCATCAGCCTGCGGACCCGAGAGTCCCGGGTTCGGTTCCCGCTAGGAGCATGTACCAAAAAAAAAAAGTAAGTATTGTCCTTGGCCTGAAGTGTTTTGATAACTTCAGAGGAGGTTTTCCACTTAATGGACGGTGTACTGTGAGTTTTCATTGCACTTGTATTGTGGTAGCAATAAGATCAGATTAACTTTTTTTTTTTCCTCCTGCTATATATACCAAGCTCCTCCTCTTGGTCCCAGTGTGACGTGCTATATGACAATGAAGCCCACACCTATTAACCCTTAAAAACTAGGATGCAGCAGTAGAATTCAGGCCATGAACCTCCAAGGGTCACTTAAGTTGCACATGCAAACAAGAAGCCACCAGGTCATCTAGAGCTGGCGGGGTGGCACTTGGAGAGGCAGGTCCTAAGGACACCGGCATGTGTCAGGAAGGCACCATGGATGCTCTTCACCCTGTTCAAATTCACACCAGTTGTGGGTATCAGTGCCTGCCACCCAGGTTTCAGGTGTGATACCAGCCCCCAACAATCTAGCAGGGCAGGCCCTTGGGTATCCCCCACCCCTCACACAGAAATTCTTTGTTCTGATAACTGGCCCTGAGAAATTCAGAGTGTCCCACCTCAGCCTACTGGGCCACTCTGATGGGTGGCTCAGAGCCTGGGGCAGGCCAAATGTGACGGTTCCCCCCACCCTGTTGTGTGCCTGCCATGCCTAGTGGACCTGAGCTCGGCGAGCGAGGACGACTTTGACAGTGAGGACAGCGAGCAGGAGCTGAAGGGGTACGCCTGCCGCCACTGCTTCAGCACCAGTGAGTGGGGCTTTGACACTGGCTCATGCTTCAGGTCACTGAGAAAGGTGGAAGTGTTACTTCACTTCACGCCCCTGTTGAGCAGTCAGCACCGAGTGCTGATCAGTGGGTAGGACAGACTTGCTCGAGGTTGGGGCTGGGTTGCATGCTGTCAGCTCCTCCTGTGTACCCCGACATAAGGTGGGGGAGGTAAACATTCCTGAAACCCTCTCTTGTCCTGGGAGAGAGAGCAGGGCAGCACCAGCGCCTGAGCTGGGTATAAGGTGTCTGTCTGAGCCCAGTGCTACGTGGTTCTCATGGCACTGGGGTTGGTTGAGCCCCCCTACTCAGATATCCCAAGGACATTGGTTTTGAGGCTCCGCCCCCTACTCCTCTTCCTTCATGCAGCCTCCAAAGACTGGCACCACGGGGGCCGGGAGAACCTCCTGCTCTGCACAGACTGCCGCATTCACTTCAAGAAGTACGGCGAGCTCCCGCCCATCGAGAAGCCTGTGGACCCCCCACCATTTATGTTCAAACCTGTCAAAGAGGAAGATGATGGGCTCAGCGGGAAACATAGCATGAGGACGCGGAGGAGTAGAGGCTCGGTGAGTCCCTCATGGCCAGGCTACCCGGGCCTCCTGACCACACCTCCAAGTTGCTAGGATGCTGGGGGCTGTGTCACCAGGAAGAGGACAGGAAGTGCTTTACTTAGGTAGCGAAACAGATCCCCTGAGGTTGGAATGGTTTTTGCCCAGGGGCATTAGCTTTGCCTTGGGGCTGGGAAAAAGCCCCCTGTCCTCTCCTTCTTCCTTGGGGAGTCAGTGGGGACAGTGGTCTCAGTTTCTGCATCAGTGCAGGCTCTCGAACTCCCTCAGACCTTCCTCTGGCCCACAGGCCAGTCACCTTTAGTGTGGCACATCTCTCTCATTTGAAACTTGCTGGCTTTTTAAAAAAATGATCCAGTTTTGGAAACTTTCAGGTACATTTTTTTACTCACTGCATAGCCTCTTCCTTCCATAAAGAGACTGTTTTCCAGGTTGGAAATGTGGCAGGGAACTTTGGGAGCAAGAGTTTTTCCAGGTCAGGGACTGAGGATACTACCAGTGTCTTTCCCTGGAGCACTGGCCTTTCCTAGTGGCCCTTTTAGGCAGGAGGGTGGCACCATCCACCTTCCTCTGACACTAGCATCCTGCCCACCCAACTGCTGCTTGCTCAGAGGAGCAGATGGACCAGCATGAATCATTATGTCCCTTCTTTTCAGAGCCCCCATGACTTTGCAGAAATATTCTGAAGCACTTGGTTTAGGAACTGAGCTGTGTTATTTGACAGCTCATGTCTTTGGGTCTCTCCTCCTCCTGGCAGATAGAGTCAGCAGGTGTTTGTTGTTTTGGTTGGGCAGTTACATGGAATAAACAGAAAGGTGAGGTAACTTAAAGTTGACTTTGTGTGTAATTGTCATTCTGGAGGATGTTGCAGAGTGGACCGTCCTTACTGACTTGGCCCCTCGGAAATACTTGCTCATTTCCAGTGCACGTCATTTAGGATAGTTCTGGAGATGAATGCTTTGAGTTTAAGCTGAGAATTGCTCTTTTTCATGTGAACTCACCCACTCATCCCTTTTCCCTTCACTCCATATTGACCTTGTGCAGCAAGGGACAGATTTGCCATGAGGTCAACAGTGGGATCTGCTTTTGATGCTTCTGCATGTGTGCTGGGCTCAGGTGGCCCATGTCAGGTCTAGGGGCCAGTTTCACCAGCCTCGGGTTTGGGTGGGCAGATGTCTACACTGCGCAGTGGTCGGAAGAAGCAGCCAGCCAGCCCTGATGGTCGCGCCTCGCCCATCAATGAAGACATCCGCTCCAGTGGCCGGAACTCGCCCAGCGCTGCTAGCACCTCCAGCAATGACAGTAAAGCGGAGACTGTGAAGAAGCTGGCCAAGGTGAGGTGCTGGGGGTGAGGGGTGGGGGCTGCTCGGCCCCACCCTCCCAAGAAAACAGGATTGCTGGGGTTGGTGTCTGGCTCCCTCACACGTGGGACCACAGGTCATCCTTGGAGCCTCCCAGGGCACCAACATTGCCCTGGCCTGGGTCTGCAGCCTGGGGCCTGGAGAAAGGGGCTCCAGCTTAGCTCCCAGCACTGACTTTTGGGGGCTCCCAGGGCCTCAGAGGCACAGGATGTGGGGGGTGATTGGAGAGGCTCTTCCCAAAGCCAAGTTATTCCCATCCCCAGATACTTGTGCCTTCCTGGCTCTGGCTCTCCCCTTCCAGAATTGTCTTGCTTCTGGAACTAGAGCTCAGAATGTGGGAGCAAGGTGTCATCAAGCCCCCCCGAGGCTGATGGGACATGCTGTCTTGGCCTATCCTCCTCACGTGCTTTCCCACTGCAGAAGGTGAAGGAGGAAGCCTCATCCCCTCTGAAGAGCACCAAACGCCAGCGGGAAAAGGTAGCCTCAGACACAGAGGAGACTGACAGGACCAGCTCCAAGAAGACGAAAACCCAGGTGAAGTTTACTGCTGGCAGCTAACGCCCCTTGAGAAACGCCCAGCCAGTCCCCCTGGGGGTGGCAGTGCTTTCTCTCTCCCAGGGAGGGTCCGGGTCCGGGCAGGACTGCTGCTCCTTGAGGCCAAGCTTGCTGCCTGCTGTGCATACGCCAGGCTCTGGCCACGAAGGGTAGACTAGAGCTTCTCTCCTCCCACTCCGGCCTTAGGAGATTAGCCGGCCCAACTCCCCGTCGGAAGGTGAGGGAGAAAGTTCTGACAGCCGCAGTGTCAACGATGAGGGCAGCAGTGACCCCAAAGACATCGACCAGGACAATCGCAGCACGTCCCCCAGCATCCCCAGCCCCCAGGACAATGAGAGTGACTCGGACTCCTCTGCCCAGCAGCAGACCCTGCAGGCCCAGCCTCCAGCCTTGCAGGCTCCCAGTGGGGCTGCTCCAGCTCCTTCCATGGCCCCACCAGGAACCTCCCAGCTTCCCACACCAGGGCCCACGCCCTCTGCAGTTCCTCCACAGGGTTCCCCCTCAGCCTCCCAGCCCTCCAACCAGGCTCCACCAGGTCCTGCTTCCCATGCCCATATCCAGCAGGCACCGGCTCTGCACCCTCAGCGGCTGCCCTCCCCGCATCCCCCGCTGCAGCCTCTGACTGGGCCAGCTGGCCAGACCTCTGCTCCACCTCATACCCAGCCCCCCCTGCATAGTCAGGGCCCACCCGGCCCTCATAGCCTGCAGGCTGGGCCCCTGCTGCAGCACCCAGGTCCCCCTCAGCCCTTTGGCCTCCCTCCCCAGGCCTCCCAGGCAGCAGCTCACCCTCATACCTCCATGCAGCCCCCAGCCTCTCAGTCAGCCTTGCAGCCCCAGCAGCCCCCACGGGAGCAGCCCCTGCCACCAGCCCCCTTGGCTATGCCACACATTAAGCCACCGCCCACTACACCCATCCCCCAGCTTCCAGCACCACAGGCCCACAAGCACCCACCTCACCTCTCAGGGCCCTCACCCTTCTCCATGAATGCCAACCTCCCGCCCCCTCCAGCACTGAAGCCCCTGAGCTCCCTGTCTACACACCACCCTCCCTCAGCACACCCCCCACCGCTGCAGCTCATGCCTCAGAGCCAGCCATTGCCCTCCTCCCCTGCCCAGCCTCCTGTGCTGACCCAGAGCCAGAGCCTCCCCCCTGCTGCTGCCTCCCATCCTCCTGCAGGCCTCCATCAGGTGCCCCCTCAGCCCTCATTCTCTCAGCACCCCTTTGTCCCTGGAGGCCCTCCTCCCATCACCCCTCCGTCCTGCCCCTCTACCTCCACTCCACTCACGGGCCCTGGCCCATCGACCCAGCCGCCCTGCGCTGCTGCCGTTTCTTCGGGAGGCAGCACACCTGGAGGGGCAGCCTGCCCGCTGCCCACTGTCCAGATCAAGGAAGAGGCTCTGGACGATGCTGAGGAGCCTGAGAGCCCCCCTCCACCACCAAGGAGCCCGTCCCCTGAGCCCACTGTGGTGGACACCCCCAGCCATGCCAGCCAGTCAGCCAGGTATTGTTGCAGGAATCTGGGCAGCTCAGGGCAGGCCTCTGCCTCGGCAGAGCCCCCACAACAGATGTGGCCTTTCTTAGGTTCTACAAACACCTGGATCGGGGTTACAACTCATGTGCACGGACAGACCTGTATTTCATGCCTCTGGCGGGATCCAAACTGGCCAAGAAGAGGGAGGAGGCCATTGAGAAGGCGAAACGGGAGGCTGAGCAGAAAGCTCGAGAGGAGCGGGAGCGGGAAAAGGAGAAGGAGAAGGAACGCGAGCGGGAGCGGGAGCGTGAGCGGGAGGCTGAGCGTGCAGCCGTGAGTGCTCGGCCCTGGGCAGGCGGGCAGCCTGTGTGTGCAGTGAGGGGCACTTGCCATGCCAGGCTGGGGACACTGGGGCCACCCTACTCTGTGAGGCTGTCTGGTTCTCTGTCATGGCACCCGGAGGGTCAGGTGCTATTTGAGCCCTGAGCTAGGCTTTTCTGACATTGCTGCTCATCCAAGCTAGCACTGGACCCCCCTTCTCCAGAAGCTGTCTGCACCCCTACTCTTTGCCCTGGACCTCCCCTTCCCCAGAGGATCACCGTGCACCCACTTCTTGGCCCTGGCAAGTTCACACTGATTGACAGCAGTGATCTAGTGGGCAGGCCTATTGACTTGTGTGTCTCGTGTAATTGGAGGAAATTGAAGAGAAACTAAGGAGGAGAGCCAGGCACTGGGGGCATTAACCTGCCTCATCGCTCCCTCTGGCAGCCCTGCCCTACTCTCGTAGAGTGGGCCACCCAGCACCTGCCTTTGTGGTGGAGGCCCTCCTCCCATGCAGTACTTTGTCTCACGGTACATGAACCCATCTAGGACACGAGGGAAACCATAGGCACAGAGGACACTGTCACAGCGGGGTCTGGACCATGTCCTTGTCGCAGGCTGTGGCTGAGACCGCTCGGTGTTGGGGTAGAGGGCCCAAATTGGCTGATCAGTGCAGAATGGCCACAGAGCAGAGCTCCCCTCTGTAAGGAACACTAGGTAGCTGACATCTACCCCTCACACCCTCCTTTTCTTCAGCAGAAGGCGTCCAGCTCAGCACATGAAGGCCGCCTCAGCGACCCCCAGCTCGGTGGTCCTGGCCACATGCGGCCATCCTTCGAGCCACCACCAACCACCATTGCTGCTGTGCCCCCGTACATCGGGCCTGACACCCCTGCCCTTCGGACTCTGAGCGAGTACGCTCGGCCCCACGTCATGTCTCCCACCAACCGTAACCATCCCTTCTACATGCCCCTCAACCCCACCGACCCACTGCTGGCCTACCACATGCCCGGTCTCTACAATGTTGACCCCACCATCCGAGAGCGGGAGCTCCGGGAGCGCGAGATCCGGGAGCGGGAGATCCGGGAGCGGGAGTTGCGAGAGAGGATGAAGCCAGGCTTCGAGGTGAAGCCCCCTGAGCTGGATCCCCTGCACCCAGCCACCAACCCCATGGAGCACTTCGCCCGGCACAGCGCCCTTACCATCCCCCCCACTGCCGGCCCCCACCCTTTTGCTTCTTTCCACCCGGGCCTAAACCCCTTGGAGAGGGAGAGACTGGCTCTGGCGGGCCCCCAGCTGCGGCCCGAGATGAGCTACCCTGACAGACTGGCGGCCGAGCGGATCCATGCAGAGCGAATGGCATCACTGACCAGCGACCCTCTGGCCCGACTGCAGATGTTCAACGTGACTCCACACCATCACCAGCACTCACACATCCACTCGCACCTCCACCTCCACCAGCAGGACCCCCTCCACCAAGGTGGGTCCCCAGGTTGGCTAGGGCACTGTGGGTCCAGCTCTGGTGGGGAGGAGGGGTGGACCAGAGATGGAGTCGCTGGCCCAGGGCGGAGACTGTTCTTTTCTAAATGAGTCCTAATTCCAAGCAGATCTTAGAATATTTAGCATGCACCAAGAAATCAGTCACTTTCTTCATGGGCAGCCTTTGTCTCTGTTCAGCCTCCCAGCTCTCCAGAGCTGCCAGTCCCCAGAAAGCTGCATCACCCTGTGACCTTCTGCCTGCTGCCTCCTGGATAAAGCTTAGGTTCTTGGCCCTGTGCCTGGGGTAGGCTAGGGTGGGAGGGAAGCAGCCTGTGCTCACTGGGGCAGGTTTGGGGCAGGAGGCAGGGCCTGAGGAGCAGGGGAGGGCCTTCAGGTTGTCACTAAGCGAGAACCTAAAGCAACAGTCTCCCTTTCCTTTTCAGGAATGAGGCTTAGGCTTCTGGCTCACCTGATTAGGGCCACCTAGCCCTGCTCACTCTAGGACTGAGTGCCTGCTTACTGGTCAGCTCAGGTTGCAGGCTGGTCTGAGACAGAGTTGGGCACAGCTTGAGCCCTGTGCCCTCCAGAGCTCTGCAGACCATGTGGATGGGCCGGAGTAGGGGGCTCTCTGGCCCTGCTCTTGAGTTGGCAGGTGTGCCTGACCCTGGAACTGGGGCCTGCCGTGGAGATCCTATGGCGCAGCCCGTGGGCATAGCTTCCTCATGGGCTGACCTCCATGTTTGGGAGGAGGACAACTGATAAAGCAGGGCCCAGGGGAGGGAGGGCAGTACCTGGCTTCCTTCTCATGTGCCCAGCCCTGACAGATGGTCCAGGGAAGCCAAGGAGCTGTCTGTCACCTTTATCCCATGGCCCTGACACCGGGAAGTGTCATGCTACCCAGTGGGGCCTTCTAAGCTCCAGTGTAACCAGCAGACTGCCTTAATGCCCTAAAAGGGTAGGTAGTCAGTCATGCATTCATTGGATAAGTGTTCGCTGAGCACTTGCGATGTGCCAGGTGCAGTTGTAGGTGCTGACAAAGCCCATTCATGTTTATCGTCCCAGTCTGGGAGGCAGTCAGTGGATGAGTCTGGGACTGTGGAAAGCAGCCAGTGTTCTGGAGGAAAGCAAAGCAGGAAGAGGGGACAAGGGAGCTGCTATTATAAAGAGGGCTATGGAAAAGCCTCTCCAAGAGGTGACTTTTGAGTAAAGACTTGAAGGGAGTGAAAGGGTGAGGCATTGGAAAGAACATCTCTAGGCAGAGAGAGCACCACTGCAAAGGGCCTGAGGCCAGAGCATGGACTCGAGAGAGCCAGCAATGACAAGCAGAAGGGAGTCCCCGGCAGAGCTGAGCCCTGTCCCTGCCCATAGCCATCTGTTGGCCTCCTTTGGGTTCTGTAGGTAAAGAGAACTGGGGGTGGGGGGGGTGGTAGCCTGGACAGGATGTGCTGGCTGGGGCAGTGCTGGAGCAGCCATAGGATTCCCGTGGATGTAACAGGTGCAGAGCAGCTTGGGGGCGGTCAGCCAGGTGGGCTCTGCTGATCCAGGGTCCTCAACAGAACGGATTGGGGGACACTGCCTGTAGGGAGTGCTCAGGGGTGGGAGGAAGAAATAGTCAGCTCTTCACTTCTGTTTTACTTTCTGGAGCTCCACTGTGGGAGTGTGGGAAGGGGGGCCAGAGGACAGGCACTTCGGGTTGAGGTCATTGGTGGTCCTGGTGACCGGTAGTCAGTGTGGTGAGGAGGATGTCACCAGCAGTTCCAACCAGGAAGGGAAACATCAAGAGAGCCCCACAGCCCTGCACCGGCTGTATTTGGACTTCTGCCCCCTCTTTCAGGTTCAGCAGGCCCAGTTCACCCGCTGGTGGACCCCCTGACTGCTGGCCCTCACCTGGCTCGATTTCCCTATCCCCCTGGCACCCTCCCCAACCCTCTGCTTGGACAGCCCCCCCATGAGCACGAGATGCTTCGTCACCCAGTTTTTGGTAAGAATGCACCTGGGGAAGGAGGGGGTCCAGAGTGAGAGTTGGGTTAGTGGTCTGGTCTTATGGCCTGTTCATTCATTCATTTGTTCATTCATTCAATCATGTATTCAACAAATACCCCTCAGAGCTGGGGGTGGGGTATAAATGTGTAACAGGAGCCTAGATGAGAACAGTAGGCCATGAAGGAATAGCAGACTCCAAATTTAAATTTGAGATCTCAGGAAGGTAGACCTCTCTAAAGAAGGAACACTAGGCTGAGGCCTGAAGCCTGGGGGAAGAGAGGGCCCCCCCCACTCAGCTGGGGAAGGAAGGGCAGTACTTTGGGTCATCCCCACCCCTCTGCCCGCCAGGGGATCTCCTGACCTCCTTGCAGGCCTTGGCCTTGTCTTGGTCATTCCCCTGGCCTTTCTGTAGAGGAGACTGTTTTGTGTTTGCCAGGTACCCCCTACCCCCGAGACCTGCCTGGGGCCATCCCACCCCCCATGTCAGCTGCCCACCAGCTGCAGGCCATGCATGCCCAGTCGGCTGAGCTGCAGAGACTGGCCATGGAGCAGCAGTGGCTGCACGCACACCCCCACATGCATGGCAGCCACCTACCAAGTCAGGAAGATTATTACAGGTGAGGAGGGGAGCGGCCTGGAGGGAGGGACTGGCTGGCTGGCTGGCCGGCCGAGCTCCCACCTACCCAACCTGTGGGCCACTGACTGACCCAGCCTGATGGTCGCCCCTCCTGGTTGTGCCCACGTAGCTCCTCCCATATCAGCAGGCACCAGGCTCGGGACCCTTGGCCCTGCCCTATGGCCCTAGAGGGGACGTCCCAGAGAGTCATCCTGGTGGGTGGGAGGGGAGGGGAGGGAAGGGGAGGGCCAGCTGCATGGGAGGCAGCTTGGGTCTGCCTGCCCACCCCTAGTACTCAGTCCTCTTTCCTTTATTTTTCTTTTCAGTCGACTGAAGAAAGAAAGTGACAAGCAGTTATAAGTTATTTATTTGTTAACGCTGGCTGTGGAAACCCCAGTTCTTGGGGGGATAAACAGGACTTTTTACATACAATAGGAGCTGCAAAAGTAAAAAGAATATCTTCTAAAGATTTCTTTATATATTTAAAAACCCCACAACTAAAAATGTATCAGCATAATAGTGTTTGTTTGTAGAGAGGATTCCTTGAGACTGGTTTGGGTCTCCCTGCATGACAGTCCCCCAGAAACTTAGTGAGTCCTGGACTGGACTGAACATTCAGAAAACTTCCCAGCAATCTTGGGGTTCGGCTTTCGTCTCCTTCCTTTCCTCGACTTCTCAGTAGGTGCTAGAGTCCAGTCACACCCTTCACTGTGCGTGCAGACACACTCAGTCACACGTGTTCCAAACCCCACGAGGTATGCAGATAGGCGGCATATGAGTTTGGAATCCAAGAGCTATAATTTTTAAAGAATCTTTTATTTTACTACATTGTTGGAAATCTTCATAATTTGAGGAAGTTCTGCAGCACGGCTTTTTACGTGTGTAAATAATTTTAGAGCAGCCTTTTTTTCCTTCCACAAACTGCTGTTCCGATCTATTTTTTCCAGCCATGTCACTAATTGTGAATTCCTATCAGCTATTGACAGAATACAGAGTTGATTTTTTAATAAAAAGTTATATATAATTATCCCTTTAATTAAAGGGAACAGATGGGCGTTACTAATCACAAACGGGCAAAAGCTTGGGAGTAGGTTTGGTCGCAGCAGTGAGCATCCAGGGGTTTGCAGGGACAGTGTTACAAACTGTTTTCGTTTTTGCTGCTTTGGTTTTTCACTTCTGTCTGTCCCTAGCTTGTGCTTCGCCAGTGGTGCAGACATCTGTTAGATCGAATCTCTTGTCATTTGCACCAGGAGTGCGGGAGCTAAGTGTCCACCCGTTCTGTCTCTGCCGGGTAGAAAGCACATGGTTCTGTGTGTCTGATTGCAGATTTCCTTACAGGTTTCTGTGCACACATATTTGATTGTTCTGGATGAACTGCCTTTCTTAATACTCTGACGGTTGCACAAACATTCTAGAAAATTCAAGAAAATGATTCCCTGCCAATAACTCAGCACATATGTTTGCCAAAGGAATCTGTTAGTGACCTGCCTTTTCGTGCATGTCGTTGTTGGTCCTGTCAGTCCCAGCCGTCACCCCACAGCCTGAGGTTGCTTTTCGTGGGGGAGACTCCGGTGTTGGCACAGTTGTGGGTGGTGGCCTGTGTGTCTGCCCCAGGAGCATGGTGACCCATGTCAGACTGGGAAACCTTTGAGCCCACCCTTCATCTTGAAGTGGGAACAGGAGTGGGAAGGCAGGGTTCCCCCAGAGGGGCCACCTCGGCTGTGCTGCAGGGAGGTGCCATCTGCTTTCTAAGTTGCTGCAGAGGGGGCGCAGATTCTGGGGCTGTCTGCACCTATTTCTGCCAGGGTGTGACCTTTTCCGTTCTCAGACTTGAGGGCGGTTTCTGCCGTTGTATGTGGTGGCCACGTCCAAGAATTGTCAGACGAGATTATTTCTGTGGGTCAGTGGATGTGAAGTGTGTCCAGGACCTGAGCCACATGGGTAGGAAGAGAGGTTGGCACTTTGCTCCAGAAACCAGCAGGTGTTAGCTCAGATCCAGGTTCTGGACTCACACGAGCATCAGGGCATTTCCATCTCTCTGAAACCATGTCTGATTTCATTTGGGACAGGTAGCGGATTGTTCTGCGTGTTGAAAATGTTCGTAGTTTTCTTTTGTTTTCTTTTCATTCCATTTCTGCCTTAAATTTAGCTCCCTACAGGGGAGACAAGCTCAAATGAACCCTTTGTCATCATACTTGTGGCTGTGTTGGCAGGGGCGTTTGTTTCCTCTGGGGGCAGTGACCTGCCATCGGGGCAGGCTGCCTCCTGTGGCTCCTGCTGCCCCGACTCCTGCACCTGCCCCACCTTCTCCCATCTTTTGTTTTTCTTCTGCTAGAACACAATGCCTACCAATCAGTTAGGCCTCTTTATCTCCTCTCTCCAGTCTCCATTTTCCAAAGAAGAGAGAGAGTTTAGTACTTTGAAGTCTGTATTAAAAATTGTCTGAAGGCGTTTTCCTGTTAGGTTTTGGTTTTCCCCTCACAAGGTGAAGCACTGAGATTCTTCCATTTAAAGACCCTCACTTGGTCAGCTACAGTTTAGGAAGCCCGACCTTCACGGTGTCTTTGAAGCCCGACCCCTTGGTTTCCTTTTGGGTTTTCCTTCCTTTCGTTTGGAGTTTGTTTGCTTTCTGTGTTCTGTATGTATCTTGTTCAATGTTGTCAAGGTTGGTTGAGCGTCACGTTTCACCGCAGCAGCAGCAGCAGAGCAGAATGTACATTCTGATTTGCTACGTTTATATATATCTTGAAGCTAAATGTATATATGAGTAGTTTGCCATGAGATAACACAGTGTAAACAGAGTAGACACCCAGAAATCGTGACTTCTGTGTTCTCTCCATTTGAGTATTTTGTAATTTTTTGGAAATATTTGTGGACATAAATAAAACCAAGCTACACTACAACAGCTGGGTGTCGACCAGTGGTGGACCGATGGACCGTGTCTCATTCCTGGGAGCGGGTGGGATGTTGGCTGTGGGCCCTCCCTGGGTCCCACAAGGTGAGGAAGGGCAGAGGAAGCGTCTGGTGTCTTCTTCTGTTGCTGGTACACTGCTTACCTTTCTGGAAAGATCCATGTCTGCTCCATCTGGGAGGAAGGTGAGTACACTTGCTCTTGGGAGACGCTCCGACCTGCTGATGTTGATGTCATCGACCTGCAGTGGGCTCCCCCACCCAGCAGAATGGCCCCAGGGAGGCATGGCATTGAGACCAAGCACACCCTCTCCTCTCCTTAAATCGTTTTCTCCCCTACCTTTCACCCAACACCTCTGGTGGACATCCTCCAGGGATATGGCCACGTAGCTCTTTCTACTTAGGAGAGGTCTGAGCCGCCCACCACACAGTGGCCACCTACTCCTGGCTGTTCCTCCTGCCTTGCCCCTTCCCTGACTCCCCCACGGCCACCCTCAGCCAGAGCTGCCCTGCAGGCTGAGGATGCACCAGCCCTCTGTGCTGTGCCCTGCAGCGGGAATCCTGCTTGGTAGCCTGGATGGGGGGGGGGGGGGGCTGCAGCCCACCTGTGGGGGTACACGTGGCTATCTGGATCCTGGATGAGAAGGTGGGGTGCAGAGGGAACCCAGGTGTCATCTTTGCTGGTCTCTTACAGCAGCATGCTGTTCACAAACCAGTTTGTAATGGGCATAAATTTATGAAATGCAAATTTCCGAGTTAATAAGACATGTCTGAGTGGATGCTGAAGAAAAGGCCCTCATCAGATCTGCACAGGTTTTTTGTTTTGTTTTTTATCCTCACCCGAGGACACTTTTTTTTCCCATTTTTTGTTCAAATAGAGTGGGGAGGGACAGGGAGAGAGAGAGAGAAACATCGATGTGAAAGGGACACATCGAGTGGTTGCCATCCACATGACCCAACCAGGGCAGGGGACAAACTGCAACCAAGGTACATGCCCTTAGCGGGAACTGAACCCAGGTCTCTCTGGACCGCAGGCTGATGCTCTACCGCTGAGCCAAACTGGCCAGGGCTGCACAGGTTTTAATAGTTTCTCAGGTGTGGATGCCTGTGGCCATGGTCACCACCTGCTCTGTACCCACTCTGAGGCAGGGGGCCTTCCCCAGTGGACATCGGGATTCGTAGAGAGAAAGGGTCTACTTACTGCCTAGCAACTGTGCCCCTTGCCAGGCCCTTGCCTCTTGTTCCCCAGATAAAGTGGTACCAGTGTGCCCGTTCACCACTTCGTCCCTGTCAGTGCAGTGTAGGCTAAGAAAAGGGCACTTCTCAGGACTGGCATAAGGCCTGAAGTCTCCGTGGGGCCCATGGCAGAGGTTTGATAAACATCCTTGGTAAGCTCAGGTGAAGGGGACGAGGTCACTTATGTGCAGGGCAAGGAACTCAGCAGTGACCTCCCACATAGACACGGAGTTGGAAGACCATCAGATGCCAGGGCCATAGAGCTGTATAGTCGTGGGTACAAACTGCTGGTGGATGAAGGTCCCAGGGTTCCCTCATCTAGCCAGGGGCCCGCTGCCAGTCTCGGGCCTTACAGTAGACCCGCTGACCACACAGTGAAACCCAGGGTAGTGTGTTGGCACCAGCACAGGTATGGAGCTATGGAATCCGGACCCAGGCACCTGGGGCCAAGCTAACAGTACTCAAGACCAGTGAAAGTCTGTCTGCACACGACGCCTGAGCAAGTCTTGACTGCTGGCCTGTGGAGACACAGGGACAGAAAGAATCAGCCAGGCTGCAGGGTAAAGCTAGCCCTCTGGATCCTGGAGCTCCCATTGGAAGGCAAGTCCTGACGGAACTGGGCAACAGGAGCAGCAGTTTCTACTGTGGACGGACCATGCAGTCCCTTCGAGGCCAGGAGCAGCCTCCTGCTGCAGCACGGGCTTTACCCTGGGACTCGACACCCTCGTGAGTTCTCTGTTCTGCGTGTTTGGTCCTTGGAGGTCTCAGGTCTTAGCTGTCCTTTCCCTGGGTCTTTGCTGGGTTCCCAGCTGCCCCATGGAGTTCTGGCAGTTCAAGTTCTGGGCCCTGGAAAATGATTTTGTTCCAACCCTACGTGGCTTCTCTAGTGGCTGTCTTCTGTGCCCTTCCACCGGCAAAGGGAGATGGCCGCCGCATGGCGCTCAGTCCTGCCTCCCCCATCTGTGCCTGCTCTGGGATCTCAGCCCGGCTCTAGCCCTGTCTGCACCATTCTTAGAAGGTTTACAGTTGTGGCCCCTGGTGAACTCTTAGTGTGGAAATCCAGTGTGGTGAATCCGATTAAGGATAGAATTCTATGGCCTTTTCAGAGGGCTGACCACCCAGATCCTTCCCAGGTCCTGACACAGCAGATTTGAACTTGGTCCTCACCACCATTTCCAGTCTTGGCCACCAGGTGGCAGTATCTAAGATCCAGGCCGCAAGCCCCTAGCAACAACTGGGGGTTAAGGCCTCCCCAACTCAATCCCCTCAGATGCTCCCGGAGACAGGTATGTGGATATGATGAGTGCTTTGTAAAAGAACTGACATTTCCTGGAGGCAGGAGGCCAAACATGTGGGAGCCGGTGTTTTGGGCAAAAGGTCACAGCAGATGTGAGGGATGGCAGGGAAGAGGGGCCTGGGGGCTGCAGTGAGGTGGTCAGGGCCCAGGCATGGATGTTCTGACCATGGGAAGATTCTGTGTGTAGAGGACACTGGCTTCTCTTGTTCTCAGCTGCATTCCTGGCACCTGGCCCAGTGATGGGGTGTACACAGGAGGCGAGGTGCTCGAGTGCAAGAGGAACCCCACGTGCACCCTCAGTACCCACACGTACGAAAACCCCCCTGAGCTGCTGCTGCCCTGAGAGTCCTACGTGCCCCAAATGTGCCCCTGACTCAAGACATCTCCTTTCCAAGTCTTAAGGAGGAGGATGCTCACAGTCAGGATGAGGCGACAGCACACACCATGTGGGCCCGGCACTGTCGGCTCTGGCATATTCCGGGGATGCCACCTCCATTCCTCAAAACCTGTGCCCAGTGTGATAGGTGTCAGATGCCAACTACCCCTGTCCTTGTATCCCAGACCGTGGTCCAGGGTTTGTCCAACAGCCCAGGAAGATGGTGGCTGTGGCTTTGCCATCTTTTCCCTCCACCAATGATATGTCATCCTAAATGTGACCACCATGGAGGCAGAGGTCCCTTATGGCCAAGAGCATCAAGGAACAGGAGCTGATTTTCAAGTTTGCTGCGGGGAACGGTGAGGAGTGGTTTCAACATGCATGGCAATCACAGATTTTTTGTTTTAGTGACGGAAATGGTGGTGAGGACGAAGTTTAGCGAGTCTCATCACAGGACCACAAAGCAAAGCTTGTTCTCCCTATCCCCTTCCCTTGGAGTGGAACCAGGCTCTCCCTCCAAGCCACGTCCCTGGGAGTCAGCCCAGAGCAGGGACGCCAGTCAGGCCACGGGAAGGCGCTCAGGAGCTAGACATTGGTGTCGTCTGAAGTCAGATGGCACAGGCATATGACCTGGGCTCAGGACTTGGTGTGCTTCTCAGGCTGCAGGTCTGCCAGATGGTGGAGTGCCACCACCTTCCTCACTGTGGGGGGTGAAGCGCGATGTGCAGACAGCGTTTAGCTCCCCGCAGGGTGTGTTGAAGGACTTAATGAGCCACTGGCAGTGGTCGCTGTCACCACCGTCATCACAGCTCGATTTTTAAGTACAGAGAATGATGCTTTGGTACTGGAAACCAAGCAGGTGTTGCTCTCAGCAAATCCTGGGCCTTGTAGTGACTCCCACTGCAATGTTCAGGGAACAGACCTGGTGTTGAGGGTAGCTTTCTGGAGTGGGCCCGAGGGCAACCTGTTGCTGTGCTCAGTCGCTGTCCCTGAACAGCGAACCTGATTTAAAGCAGATCCTCAGGAAGAGAGGCTGCCGACAGCCATTCCCCCTTGGACAGCGATCTGTGTTTAGGAAGTTCCAGGAAGAGGCCCCAGGGTTTGACGAGCCCAGAGTGAGCAGGGAGCCCCTCAGTCCTCATCTGTCTCAGATTTGACCGTTCTGCAGCAAAAACAGCCCAAACCAGTCGACCACAATTTGACATTTTCTGGAAAAACCTAAAGCTCTTCTAACCACTATGAATGTAGGGAGGATGAGTCTGGAGTCCCAGAAAAGCATGAGGCTAACAGGAGGGTCAAAGGAGCTGTGTGACTTTGGAAAATCACTGAACCTCTCTGTGCTTCACCTACACATTGAGCAGGGACGATGAGACATGGTTTATAACCATGAAGGTAAAATGACATAACATGAAGGCACAGGGGAAAGACTCACTGATTCCAACCAGGGTGGGCTGCATGGAGGAGGTAGCTTTTTAGAAACTGATAGGGAGAGGTGGAAAGCACCTGTGGGAAGAGCATGAGCACAGGCATGGAGTGTGTCTGCAGCTGGACAGGGTTGTGTGGTTGCAGTACAGGAGGCTAGAGCTGTGCAGAAGGCAGTGAGCTCCGGAAGATGGTCAGGGTCCAGGTTGGGCATGAGGACTTCAGAACTGGCTCCTTAGGCACTGGGAGCCATAGAAGGTGTTAAAAGAAAGGGATGAGGTCAGACCTACAGGGTGAAAGATGGGCAATGAGAATAGACTGTGGGCAAGGAGCTAGAGGTCCTGGACCAAGATAGGGGGCACAGAAAAGAAGGGCCTGAATCCCAGGAGACCTCCACTCCAGGAAGGCAGCAGGCGATGGCACTGAGGGAACCCAGACAGGGAGGCGGTGGGGAGCTGTGCTGTCCATTGTAGGATATGTACAGTAACCCTGGACAGTAGCAGCCACCCAAGTCGTGACAACCAAAAGTATCTCCAGACGCTGCCAAATGTCTTCTGAGGTGGGGATGAAGGGCCAAAATTGCTGCCAGTTGACAACCGTTGAGTTAAACCTTTACTTTCAATAAGTGATTCTTTTTGTAAGAAAATACTATGAACAACTATATGCCAACAAATTGGGC